TAAAATCCTACTCTTAACATATAAAGCCATAAATGGCTTGGCTCCTTCTTATCTCCAAGACACGTTAGTGTCGTATCAACCAGGTCGAGCGTTGCGCTCACAAAACGCCAGACGTCTGGTGGTCCCTAAGGTCTCAAAGGTCACTGTTGGTGGCAGAGCATTTAGCTACCAAGCTCCTTTACTGTGGAATCAGCTTCATTTATGTTAAGGAAGCAGATACGGTCTCCACATTCAAGGCCAGGCTTAAAGCACTTTACTTTAATTTAGCATATAATTAGGTAATATATAATATGTAGTGTATATATTATATATATATGCTGTATTATGTTATATATTATGTTATATATTATTCAATAATGTATTGTGTTATGTTGTATATTATGTTATATATTATGCTGTATGTTATTCTTTATTCAAGGCTAGGTTTAAAACAGTCCTCTTTAGTTTAACATATGGCTAGGAAGGTAAGACTCGGAGAAGGTTAAACTCCTCAGAGTGTTAGTCAAGCTGCATAGGGAGTCAGTTTGCTGGGAGAAGTATGGTAACTTGAGCACTATCCTCTCCTCCTTCCTACTTTATCTGTTTAGCATTTTTAGGATTCTGACTGTAGTTTGTTCATTGCTATTCACCCGTTGTCCCATTGTCTGTTTCATGGTACGATGACGGGATCTCTGAGCCTGGCCTCTTCCATCTACACCTGCGGACTGCCCCGCCCGACCCGCCTGGGAGTGCTTCAGTCCTGCACCGGACCTGTCCACGTTCAGCGTCCACTGGTCCACGTTCTGTAGCTAGCTTAGGTCCTAGATCATTAGTCTGTCCGTCCGGAGGAGCGGATCCCTTTCTCATATGGGTCTCCCTCCCTGTGGGTTTCCCTTGTTCTCCTTAAGGTTTCTCACTTTTTCCCACTGGGTTTTTTAAGAGTTTTTCCTTGTCGATGCAGGAGGGTCTTGTTGGACAGTTAGTGTCCAACAGAAAGGATTGGTGATGATCAGGACACTTTAGCATTCTACAACATGTATGGACATTTTCTTCTGTGTGTGCTTTATATTCTTCATGTGTTTTAACTGTTGATTCTCTGACCTGTGTTGGTGATTTCAATGGTTTTGTTAAGTCCTCTGAGATGACTTCTGTTGTGACCTAGGGCTATACAAGAATAAATTGTATTGTATTGTATTGTATTGTATTGTATTGTATTGTATATAGCGCAACTCAAAGAACACTTGAGATCAGACAGCCTTTGTTCAGAAGTAATGACATTCTGTCAGAGAGGCTGGCCAGACTACAGCCATCTTACAGGTCCACTTAAAGCATATTGGCCACACAGAGATACGTTAACAGTCCACGAACAGCTGTTATTGAAAGGGTGCAGACTAGTAATTCCAGTTAATATGCGCAATGCAGTCCTAGAAGCCTTACATGAGGGACATCAGGGTATGTCCAGGTGTAGAGAGCGAGCTAGAGAGACTGTTTGGTGGCCTGGTCTAGCTTGTGAAAAACTGAACAATATGCATTACAATTTACAATACAATACAATTTATTCTTGTATAGCCCTAGGTCACAACAGAAGTCATCTCAGAGGACTTAACAAAACCATTGAAATCACCAACACAGGTCAGAGAATCAACAGTTAAAACACATGAAGAATATAAAGCACACACAGAAGAAAATGTCCATACATGTTGTAGAATGCTAAAGTGTCCTGATCATCACCAATCCTTTCTGTTGGACACTAACTGTCCAACAAGACCCTCCTGCATCGACAAGGAAAAACTCTTAAAAAACCCAGTGGGAAAAAGTGAAAAGAGCGTACAAATCCAGTGGAGCCATTGATGGCCAGAGAGCTTCCTGAAAGACCATGGCAAGAAGTCGCAGCAGATCTCTTTACTTTAAACAGTAGTAACTATCTTCTAGTGGTGGATTATTATTCTAGATTTGTGGAAATAGCTAAACTTACTCCTACAAGGTCAGAAAATGTCATTGTTCATTTGAAATCAATATTTTCAAGGCATGGCATTCCAGAGCGTTTCTATAGCGATAATGGGCCCCAGTTCTCGAGTCAAGAGTTTGAAGACTTTTCAGCAGTCTATGATTTCCAGCACATTACAAGCAGCCCTAGGTTTGCACAGAGCAATGGTGAGGCAGAACGTCATGTCCAAACTGTTAAAAAGTTACTCAAAAAAGCGAAAGATCCATATCTTGCACTTTTAGCATACAGAGCAACACCGTTAGCAAATGGATACAGTCCAGCACAACTACTTATGGGTAGAAGACTTCGCACGCCTGTACCACAACTTCCTTCTTTGCTCAATCCTAGCCTGCCAGACAGCTCTTCAATTGAGAGGAGAGAGAGGGAGAAAAGGGTTAAGGACAGTGATGCGTTTAATCGGAGACATCGTGTGAGGAATCTTCCACAACTTTCTCCAGGACAACCTGTGTGGATTACAGACTCTAAATCTGAAGGCACTATCATAACTTCTCACTCCACACCTCGCTCTTATGTAGTGGAGGGACCTTCAGGCGCTATCAGGAGAAACGGGCATCACCTTTTGCCGTTGCCTGAAATCACTCCTGCACAATTGCCAAGTTCTCCAGTTTGTTCAACAGAGAGCACCTCAACCTCTGTTAACGGGCCTGAGTATTCTTCCCCAGGTCCTGTCAAAACCGGGTTTGGCAGAGTGGTTATAAAGCCTCAAAGACTGGGCTTATAAAGGGTTATTGTTGAGTTGTTTACACAAGTTGTGAAAAGTTTACAATCTCGTTAAAATGCAATGTTTGTATTTGCACTGTTTAATTTTTGTATATTTGCATTTCATACTAGAAAGGGGGATGTGGTGTATTCCGTTTACATAAGATTTACGTCTTATTGTGAAGGCTTAAACCGGAGGTACGGGTGTGTTGGAGATATACTTCTACATGTTGAATGGTTCGGAGCGACCTAAAATAAACGAGTGAAGTTACTCCACAACGTGTCGCTTGAGTCCTTAAAATCTATATTACGACAGCATGGACCATCAACTACCTCTCAGAGCGACCACAGTACGTGCGGCTGCGCAGCTGTGAGTCTGAGGTGGTCGTCTGCAGCACTGGGGCCCCTCAGGGCACTGTCCTCTCACCGTTTCTCTTCACCATCTACACCTCAGACTTCACACACGACACAGACAGCTGTCACCTGCAGAAGTTCTCCGACGACTCCGCCATCGTGGGCTGTGTATCTGAGGGGAACGAACTGGAATATCGGTCGGTTATCAAGGACTTTGTCGACTGGTGTGAGCGCAACCACTTGTGCTTGAACACCAGTAAGACCAAGGAGATGATCATCGACTTCAGGAGAAAACCACTTTCCCACACGCTGCTGAACATCCAGGGGGAGGACATTGAGCTGGTGGACAGCTTCAAGTACCTGGGTGTTCACATTAACAATAAACTGGACTGGTCCATAATACAAACGCCCTGCACAAGAAGGGCCAAAGTCGCCTCTTCCTTCTGAGGAGGCTGAGGTCCTTCTGAGGAGGCTGAGGTCCTTCTGAGGAGGCTGAGGTCCTTCTGAGGAGACTGAGGTCCTTCGGAGTGAGCAGGCCTCTGCTCAGGACTTTTTTTGACTCTGTGGTAGCCTCTGCCATACACTGGACCCCGGGCAGCACAGAGCGGGACAGGAGTAGACTGAACAAGCTGGTCAGGAGGGCCAGCTCCACTCAGGGCTACCCCCTGGACTCTGTGGAGGAGGTGAGGGACAGGAGGCCCCTGGATTCTGTGGAGGAGGTGAGGGACAGGAGGCCCCTGGACTCTGTGGAGGAGGTGAGGGACAGGAGGCCCCTGGACTCTGTGGAGGAGGTGAGGGACAGGAGGCCCCTGGACTCTGTGGAGGAGGTGAGGGACAGGAGGCCCCTGGACTCTGTGGAGGAGGTGAGGGACAGGAGGCCCCTGGACTCTGTGGAGGAGGTGAGGGACAGGAGGCCCCTGGACTCTGTGGAGGAGGTGAGGGACAGGAGGCCCCTGGACTCTGTGGAGGAGGTGAGGGACAGGAGGTGCTAGTCAAAGCCACCTCCATCATGAACAACACCTCCCACTGCACAGGACTGAGGAGGAGCTGAGGAGCTCCTTCAGTGGAAGACTGAAACATCCTCAGAGTAAGAAGGAGCAGGGCCTTTATCCCCACCGCTGTCAGACTGTACAATAAGTAACTTTAAGTCACTTGCACAAGGACTAAAAAACCTACTATTGCCACTGTTTCTTTGATTGCCACTTTTTAATTGCCACTTTTTATTGTACATAATATATCCTGCATTTAGCATGTTTGCACATGTCTTTCTTTTGCACAATCATTCTATCCATGCCAGGTGTGACATGTACGTTTCTCCTGTGAGATCAATAAAGTCTGTCTTATCTTATCTTAACACAGAACTATTACAATATTAAACGTAAAGCCATCAAAAGCTGCCATCTCCGCTATTTTTTTCTTAGCTTTCGTTAGCTTTACTAAAGTAACCATCTAGCGTTTTCAGACGTTTTGTCGATGGACTTTACTATGCTGAGATTCTAAATGTCTGCGCAATGAACTTGTCAACCCTCCTGAACACCTGGCGATCCGGTCACACAACATGCACTTTGCGTTTTCATTTTCAAATCTTTTAAAATGCTCCCATACAAAGCTGGCAGTAGACAAATCCTGCGGTAGATACTGCTGCGTAGGCTACGAAATGCAACGTTACCGTAAGACAACAATAGACGCACACTCTAATAGGAGCGCACTGGAATTTTTTTAAACTTTTATTTCCCGTTTCCCGTCATAACATTTCCCGAGTATTGGGAAATAGTTTTGATCAGATTTCCCTGGAATCCCATTTCCAGGGGTTTAAACCCTACTGAATAGTATCTTCACTCTTTTTAATCATCGGATCATCATCGAGGACGATGACACAGAGCACAGAGGAGTTATACAGGACTTTGTGGACTGGTGTCAGCGGAACCACCTCCTCATCAACGTGAGGAAGACCAAGGAGATGAACCACCTCCTCATCAACGTGAGGAAGACCAAGGAGATGAACCACCTCCTCATCAACGTGAGGAAGACCAAGGAGATGAACCACCTCCTCATCAACGTGAGGAAGACCAAGGAGATGAACCACCTCCTCATCAACGTGAGGAAGACCAAGGAGATGAACCACCTCCTCATCAACGCGAGGAAGACCAAGGAGATGAACCACCTCCTCATCAACGCGAGGAAGACCAAGGAGATGAACCACCTCCTCATCAACGTGAGGAAGACCAAGGAGATGAACCACCTCCTCATCAACGTGAGGAAGACCAAGGAGATGAACCACCTCCTCATCAACGTGAGGAAGACCAAGGAGATGAACCACCTCCTCATCAACGTGAGGAAGACCAAGGAGATGAACCACCTCCTCATCAACGTGGGGAAGACCAAGGAGATGAACCACCTCCTCATCAACCCGGGGAAGACCAAGGAGATGAACCACCTCCTCATCAACGTGAGGAAGACCAAGGAGATGAACCACCTCCTCATCAACGTGAGGAAGACCAAGGAGATCACGCGGGTGACGGGTCACTCGTTTTACCTGAACTGAGGTGCACAAACTTCCTCGAGTGTTCCACTCGAGAGGCTGGTGGAGCACGGCAGGCAGGCCGCGGCGGTGGCCGCCAACAGAGCACGGGACTGGGCGTCTCCGGCGTTCTCTCCGCGGTGTGGAGCTGGGCACCTCCAGTCGGCGAAGGAGGCGCAGACACCGGGGAAGGCGAGGCGGTCTGCTCGTTCGTAGCCGCTCCTCCAGGACCCCTTTGCCCTCCATCTACCTGGCCAACGTCCAGTCTCTGCCCAACAAGACGGACGAGCTCCTGTGTCGGGTCCAGAGCCAGCGCGAGGCCCGGGACTGTGTTCTGCCTCAGCGAGACGTGGCTCCACTCGAACGTCCCGGACTCTGCTGTTCAGCCCCCGGGATTCACCGCTCACCGCTCGGACAGAGTGAAGGAGACCACGGGCAAGGCCAGAGGCGGAGGTGTGTGCTTTTTAATTAATCAGCGCTGGTGCACGGACACTTGTATCGTGAACCAAACATGTACTGCCAATCTGGAATGCCTGGTCTTGAGCTGCCGCCCTTTTTATCTTCCCCGTGAGTTTTCAGTGATATTTTTATGTGCTGTTTACATTCACCCACATGCGGATTACAAAGTAGCCCTACAAGATCTGAGCGAGATCCTTCACAAACATAAGTCTGCTCATCCTAACGCAGTCATCATTGTTGCTGGGGATTTCAATAAATGTAATTTAAAGACTGTACTCCCGAACTTTTACCAACACGTGACTCAAGCTACAAGAGGAGCACATGTTCTGGATCACTGCTACAGTAACGTGAAGGGAGCTTACAGGTCCAGTCTCAGACCTCCTTTTGGAAAGTCTGACCACTCCTCTGTTCTCCTTCTTCCTTCGTATACTCAGAGGAGCAGGGAACATAAACCAACCTCTCGCACTGTGCAGTGTTGGTCTGAGGAGGCTAGCATGAAGCTACAAGGTTGTTTTGATGCTACGTACTGGTCTGTGTTTCAGTCAGAGGACGTCAATGAATTCTGTGACGCTGTGTCTGGACACATACGCTTCTGCATTGACTGCTGTGTCCCACAGAAGGTCATTAAAGAACATTTTAGTGAAAACCCTTGGATGAACGCGGAAGTGAAACTGAAACTTCATGAGCGTGCGTTGGCGTTTCAATCAAATGATACAGTTGCTTATAAGCTATCCTGTTACTCATTGAAACGTTCTATTAAATCTGCAAAGCGCAGTTACGGGGACAGGTTAAAGAGTTATTTTGAGGAAGATGACCCTCGGCGCATGTGGAACGGTATTAAAGCCATCACATCGTGGAAACCTAGCGCTGGGAAAACTGCATCTGTCGGCCAAGCTCTGCCAAACGAGCTGAACACGTTCTACTGTCGCTTTGAATCCGCTGATGCCTGTCCTACTGTATTCCCTTTCAATCAAGGTCCCTTCACCGTGACTCAGGAGGAAGTCAGGCGTGTCTTGTCCAGGACCACAGTCCGGAAAGCCCCAGGCCCGGACGGCATCCCTCCTCGTGTCCTGAAACTGTGCTCTGAGCAACTTGCCCCTGTGCTAACAGACATTTTCAACCTGTCGCTAAGGAACTGTACTGTGCCGAACTGCTTTAAAGAGTCCACCATCATTCCAGTTCCTAAGAAAACTCCTGTGACATGCCTGAATGACTATCGTCCTGTGGCTCTCACGTCTGTTCTTATGAAAACTTTTGAGCGGCTTGTGCTGGACTTCATTAAGAGCCAGATCCCTGTGAGTGTTGACCCGCTCCAGTTTGCTACAGACAGAACAGGAGTGTGGAGGATGCATCTCCTTTGCTCTGAACTCTGTCTACAGTCACTTGGACACTAGTAAATCTGTGGCCAGAATGCTTTTCATCGATTATAGCTCTGCTTTTGACTGCCTTGTCCCAGGTAAACTGATTGAAAAGCTCATGTCTCTGGGTTTAAGTGTTGCCATGTGTAAATGGATTTTTAGCTTTTTAACTGACAGATCTCAGAGAGTGTTTTTCTGATGTTGTTTCTGTGAGCACTGGTTCTCCTCAGGGATGTATTTTGAGTCCTTTGCTTTTTACTTTGTACACTCACGATTGTGTGTCCTCCTCTGACTCAAACTTGATCATCAAATATGCTGATGACACCACCATCATCGGTCTCATCAGTGACACTGATGAATCCTCTTATAGAGCAGAGATACAAAATGTGGTTCAGTGGAGTCAAACTAACAACCTCCAGTTGAACGCATCCAAAACATGTGAACTGGTCTACGACTTCAGTCGCAATAGTTCTCATTTGCCTGTCGTAATCGACAACTCCCAGGTGCAGATCGTAGAGGAGCAAGTTTCTGGGTTTAACTCTGTCTAACCTGAAATGGGTTAAAAACACTGACCGAGTCGTTAAGAAAGCTCGTCAGTGTCTCTACTTTCTGCGTAAACTTTGAGAATTTACCACTAACTCTAAGATCGTGCTTAACTTTTATCGCCGCACCATTGAGAGTTTACTTGTTTGTTCTGTGTCTGTGTGGTTTGGAAACATCACAGATAAAGAAAAGAGAGCTTTAAACAAGGTGCTCCGCTCTGCAAAGAGGACCGTGGGCTGTGAGCTTCCTGTTCTGGAGGTTCTTTATAAATCCAGACTTTTAAACAAAGCTCTTAGGATTGTCAATGACTCTTCTGGCCACCCTGGGAAAGCCATGTTCCAGCTTCTTCCCTCTGGCAGAAGATATCGCTCTCTGAGATGCAGGACATCTCGTTACGCTAACAGTTTTTATCCACAGGCTGTTATCAGTGTGAACAGAGCACTTTAATGATTTGTAAGCTTTTTATTTTATTTTATATACCGCCTTTTTCACTGCACATCGGAGTCTCAAAGCGGTTTACAATTGTTGGGTGGGGGTCGCCAGTACAGGAGGCACATGCCAGACCTATTGAACATATTTTTAGTGGTAGGGGAAACCGGAGCACCCGGAGGAAACCTACGCAGACACGGGGAGAACATGCAAACTCCACTCAGAAAGGCCCTGGTCCGACCGGGATTCGAACCCAGGACCTTCTTGCTGAGAGGCGAGAGTGCTATCCACTCAGCCACCGTGCCGCCACTTGCACTTGTTTTGAAACTGTTTTAGTCGATCCATTTCACAGTGACATTTGTTTACTGTTTTATTTGTTTTATTTCCATACTTTTAATGTTGTTTTATGTCTGTATTTGTCTGTGCACACTGGAGACTTTTCGCTAATGTATTCCAATGTGTTTTTTTTTACTGCAAATGGCAAATAAACTGAATCTGAATCTGAATCCGGAGATGAACCACCTCCTCATCAACGTGAGGAAGACCAAGGAGATGAACCACCTCCTCATCAACGCGAGGAAGACCAAGGAGATGAACCACCTCCTCATCAACGTGAGGAAGACCAAGGAGATGAACCACCTCCTCATCAACGTGAGGAAGACCAAGGAGATGAACCACCTCCTCATCAACGCAGGGAAGACCAAGGAGATGAACCACCTCCTCATCAACGTGAGGAAGACCAAGGAGATGAACCACCTCCTCATCAACGCGAGGAAGACCAAGGAGATGAACCACCTCCTCATCAACGTGAGGAAGACCAAGGAGATGAACCACCTCCTCATCAACGCGAGGAAGACCAAGGAGATGAACCACCTCCTCATCAACGTGAGGAAGACCAAGGAGATGAACCACCTCCTCATCAACGTGAGGAAGACCAAGGAGATGAACCACCTCCTCATCAACGCAGGGAAGACCAAGGAGATGAACCACCTCCTCATCAACGTGAGGAAGACCAAGGAGATGAACCACCTCCTCATCAACGCGGGGAAGACCAAGGAGATGAACCACCTCCTCATCAACGTGAGGAAGACCAAGGAGATGAACCACCTCCTCATCAACGTGAGGAAGACCAAGGAGATGAACCACCTCCTCATCAACGCGGGGAAGACCAAGGAGATGAACCACCTCCTCATCAACGTAAGGAAGACCAAGGAGATGAACCACCTCCTTATCAACGCGAGGAAGACCAAGGAGATGAACCACCTCCTCATCAACGTGAGGAAGACCAAGGAGATGAACCACCTCCTCATCAACGTGAGGAAGACCAAGGAGACTAACCACCTCCTCATCAACGCGGGGAAGACCAAGGAGATGAACCACCTCCTCATCAACGTGAGGAAGACCAAGGAGATGAACCACCTCCTCATCAACGTGAGGAAGACCAAGGAGATGAACCACCTCCTCATCAACGTGAGGAAGACCAAGGAGATGAACCACCTCCTCATCAACGCGAGGAAGACCAAGGAGATGAACCACCTCCTCATCAACGTGAGGAAGACCAAGGAGATGAACCACCTCCTCATCAACGTGAGGAAGACCAAGGAGACTAACCACCTCCTCATCAACGCGGGGAAGACCAAGGAGATGAACCACCTCCTCATCAACGTGAGGAAGACCAAGGAGATGAACCACCTCCTCATCACTTTGAGGAAGACCAAGGAGATGAACCACCTCCTCATCAACGTGAGGAAGACCAAGGAGATGAACCACCTCCTCATCAACGTGAGGAAGACCAAGGAGATGAACCACCTCCTCATCAACGCGAGGAAGCCAAGGAGATGAACCACCTCCTCATCAACGTGAGGAAGACCAAGGAGATGAACCACCTCCTCATCAACGCGAGGAAGACCAAGGAGATGAACCACCTCCTCATCAACGTGAGGAAGACCAAGGAGATGAACCACCTCCTCATCAACGTGAGGAAGACCAAGGAGATGAACCACCTCCTCATCAACGCAGGGAAGACCAAGGAGATGAACCACCTCCTCATCAACGTGAGGAAGACCAAGGAGATGAACCACCTCCTCATCAACGCGAGGAAGACCAAGGAGATGAACCACCTCCTCATCAACGTGAGGAAGACCAAGGAGATGAACCACCTCCTCATCAACGCGAGGAAGACCAAGGAGATGAACCACCTCCTCATCAACGTGAGGAAGACCAAGGAGATGAACCACCTCCTCATCAACGTGAGGAAGACCAAGGAGATGAACCACCTCCTCATCAACGCAGGGAAGACCAAGGAGATGAACCACCTCCTCATCAACGTGAGGAAGACCAAGGAGATGAACCACCTCCTCATCAACGCGGGGAAGACCAAGGAGATGAACCACCTCCTCATCAACGTGAGGAAGACCAAGGAGATGAACCACCTCCTCATCAACGTGAGGAAGACCAAGGAGATGAACCACCTCCTCATCAACGCGGGGAAGACCAAGGAGATGAACCACCTCCTCATCAACGTAAGGAAGACCAAGGAGATGAACCACCTCCTTATCAACGCGAGGAAGACCAAGGAGATGAACCACCTCCTCATCAACGTGAGGAAGACCAAGGAGATGAACCACCTCCTCATCAACGTGAGGAAGACCAAGGAGACTAACCACCTCCTCATCAACGCGGGGAAGACCAAGGAGATGAACCACCTCCTCATCAACGTGAGGAAGACCAAGGAGATGAACCACCTCCTCATCAACGTGAGGAAGACCAAGGAGATGAACCACCTCCTCATCAACGTGAGGAAGACCAAGGAGATGAACCACCTCCTCATCAACGCGAGGAAGACCAAGGAGATGAACCACCTCCTCATCAACGTGAGGAAGACCAAGGAGATGAACCACCTCCTCATCAACGTGAGGAAGACCAAGGAGACTAACCACCTCCTCATCAACGCGGGGAAGACCAAGGAGATGAACCACCTCCTCATCAACGTGAGGAAGACCAAGGAGATGAACCACCTCCTCATCACTTTGAGGAAGACCAAGGAGATGAACCACCTCCTCATCAACGTGAGGAAGACCAAGGAGATGAACCACCTCCTCATCAACGTGAGGAAGACCAAGGAGATGAACCACCTCCTCATCAACGCGAGGAAGACCAAGGAGATGAACCACCTCCTCATCAACGCGAGGAAGACCAAGGAGATGAACCACCTCCTCATCAACGTGAGGAAGACCAAGGAGATGAACCACCTCCTCATCAACGTGAGGAAGACCAAGGAGACTAACCACCTCCTCATCAACGCGGGGAAGACCAAGGAGATGAACCACCTCCTCATCAACGTGAGGAAGACCAAGGAGATGAACCACCTCCTCATCAACGTGAGGAAGACCAAGGAGATGAACCACCTCCTCATCAACGTGAGGAAGACCAAGGAGATGAACCACCTCCTCATCAACGCGAGGAAGACCAAGGAGATGAACCACCTCCTCATCAACGTGAGGAAGACCAAGGAGATGAACCACCTCCTCATCAACGCGAGGAAGACCAAGGAGATGAACCACCTCCTCATCAACGCGAGGAAGACCAAGGAGATGAACCACCTCCTCATCAACGTGAGGAAGACCAAGGAGATGAACCACCTCCTCATCAACGTGAGGAAGACCAAGGAGATGAACCACCTCCTCATCAACGTGAGGAAGACCAAGGAGATGAACCACCTCCTCATCAACGTGAGGAAGACCAAGGAGATGAACCACCTCCTCATCAACGTGAGGAAGACCAAGGAGGTGGTGGTGGATTTCCGCAGACGTCACTCTGCCGCTCCAGCCCCAGTGAACATTCAGGGAAAGGACATCGAGAGAGTGGACTCTTACAAGTACCTGGGTGTTCATCTGAACCACAAACTGGACTGGACTCATAACACAGACGCCCTCTTCAAGAAGGGCCAGAGTCGCCTCTACCTACTGAGGAGGCTCAGGTTTTTTGGAGTGCAGGGGCCACTCCTGAAGACCTTCTATGACTCTGTGGTGGAGCCTCTTGTACGGTGTGGTCTGCTGGAGCAGCAGCATCACAGAGAGGGACAGGAAGAAGCTGGAACATCAGGAAGTCCAGCTCAGTCCTGGGCTGTTCCCTGGACACAGTGCAGCAGGTGGAAGGACAGGAGGGTCCTGAGCAAACTAACATCTATGCTGGACCATGACTGTCGCCCCCTGCAGGACACTCTCTCTGCTCTGGAGAGCAGCTTTAGTGACAGACTAATTCACCCTCGCTGTGTGAAGGAGAGGTTCTGCAGGTCTTTCCTTCCTGCTGCTGTCAGACTGTACAACAAACAATAAGGACTAATGAACACTGCCCACTTGATTCCACGTGTCATTCTTGCATTGTTGCAGTATCCTTATCTTATACCAAATTGTGCAATACACAGCTGCCAATGTACAGATGTAAACATACTGCTGCTAATGTACAGATGTAAACATACTGCTGCTAATGTACAGATGTAAACATACAGCTGCTAATGTACAGATGTAAACATACTGCTGCTAATGTGCAGATGTAAACATACTGCTGCTAATGTACAGATGTAAACATACTGCTGCTAATGTGCAGATGTAAACATACTGCTGCTAATGTACAGATGTAAACATACTGCTGCTAATGTACAGATGTAAACATACTGCTGCTACTGTACAGATGTAAACATACAGCTGCTAATGTACAGGTGTAAACATACTGCTGCTACTGTACAGATGCTAACATATAACTACACAGTACTTTATACTTGCCTCTTATTTTGCCAAGTGTTACATTTTTACATCTATTATTATTTTCAAGATAGAGATTATATACTTATTATTGATGCTAGAGTTAGAGATGTTGTTTTATTTTAATTAGTATAGCTATTGTTCACTTGCCGTGTGCTCCTCTTTCCTACTGTTCTATAACTTGTGATGCAACACTGAAATTTCCCCATTGTGGGACAAATAAAGGATCTCTTAATCCTGATGAATGCACTGTGATTATTTTAATTCTTGTATGCTTTTAATGTACGTTCTTGTTTTGTTCATCACTTTGAGCTGCCATGTTTATGAAGTGTGTATTTGTGGGGCTATCTGCAAAGTAATGAGGGCAGACATTTGGGTTTGAAAGAAAAGCAAAGTGATACTGATACCAGGAAAAATACTCCAATACAGTACTTTGTACTCATTAGGTTTACATGGAGGTGAGTTGACTTGTAGTTGAAATAATACTGAATTACAATGACATTACACAACCCTGTATTCAGCATAAAGACTGAGCAATATCTGCAATTCAGGGAGACGTGTGCTTTGGGTGAGAGGACATTGATTTTGAGTCAGGGCCAGTTCCCCATGTCCCCCGCCTACACTGCCCCTGCCTGGACTCTGGCACTGGGCGAGTGAGAGGAGGGGGCCCCTGGACTCTGGGTCCTATGGGGGAAGGGGCAGGTCACTGCTGATAACAAGACCTCAGCCAGGGCACGTAGTGTTCCTCCCACTGTCGTCCAAAAATACACCTGTATTCCATAAGTCACATGTAAAGTCAGACATCAGGTATTATCAGGTCCTGCATGTTTGGGTCTTCAGGCTGTGGACATCTGCACTTTTTAGTTGAGTCACTATAGGAAGATCTTTGTTTACATCCGCGTGTGCATGCGCCCCTCGCTGGGTGGCAATAAGACAGAGCGGCACATACTGAAGCATGGATGTGACGAGTACTTTTAAAAGACTCAGTGGGCAAATAGCACTGTATATAAGCACTTTAAGGTAAGAAGATCAGAGGAGATATAAAGACAAGCTCAAAATAAGTATATGAGACAGAGCTGAACAAATCCAAAGCCCTATGAGACCTGGGATAACGACAAACATTGGTCAGACTCACCTCTGTTTTGGCACCGATCTGCTGGGACTGGGACTCAGACACATTTATTCTCACTTCATAGAAAACCCGGGATCCTTCACTCAAGAAGGGTCCGTGGTGAAAATCTGTGGTGAAAATCCGTGGTTTTTAACCGCGGTAAAGTGCCCTGGCATTTTGCCACACATTAAAAGCGGGTTGCCCCTTTTTGCTGTTACTTATGGTAAAGGTGGAACAGGAAGCCTCGGGATGAGCAACCAAAATGCAATGTTTAAAATTAATCATCACTCACTCATGAATGAATGAGTGAACAAGTGCGCAGTGAAAGTAGTTGAAAAACTTAAATTTGTCAATGAATTTTGACCCCCTCATTCCCCCGGCTTCCTGTTCTACGTTTACCGTAGGTAACAGCATAAAAGGGCAACCACTTTGCCGCGGCCGTTTTTCACTGTTGTTTTCTGAAAGAATTTTTATAAAAACGTAATCTGTCCCAGCGGGCCGTACAACCGTCCACACAACAAGAACGGACCATTTGATTTAGTAAAACCTCTCTCCAAACGTCTAAAACTAGCTAACTCTCTAGCATCCAGGTAGCTTTCTATGCTGTACTGTCACCTGGTCACGGCCGGCGCGGAAAAACTATAAACAACAACGTGACTACAAGATCCTCCCATTACTATACAATTGACAAAGAAAAAGAGGTGAGAATTTTTTTGTTTTCTAACGGAAACAAAAAGAATAATAGCAAAGAATAATATTCCATCTTTAAATTATATTTAATACAAACATTTCTAATGCAAACATCTATCTGATGATGCAGATTGAACAAAAAAACTATTGGTAACCACCAGTGTGGGCGGGTCCCAGCTCAAAAGTGGCCAAAATGACGTGCGCTGACATGCTGCAATACCACTCCGGGCCTGTGGGGGTGGACCCAGAAGAAGAATTAGCCAATGCTAACATATAGCATTGGCAGACCTCTGAAAAACGTCTTTACAGGATGGACCAAAAGTTGGCTCTTGGCCCAAAGCTCCGTTCCACATGTGTGTCAATGCTGAGTGTTCTGAACCAGTCTAGTTTAGTCGCTGTGAATTTTTGAAGTCTCTCGTTTAAATGAATGGAGCTGCGCCGGCTGACTCATGCGCGGACGCGTTTTTTCACAATTTTCTTGTTGGCGGGACCACTCGCGGCCATCTTGGATAGCTCCAGTAGAGCACATTTTTTGGCCCATTAGTTAGAACGGCGGAGATAGGCCTGACTCTGTCCATTAATATATACAGTCTATGGTAACCACACATTGTTAAATTCATGTTCTAACAACAAGGTGTATCTGTGTGAGGTGTTTGCATGTTCTCTCCGTGTCTGGTTGGGATTCCTCCCAGTGCTCTGATTTTCACAACCATTTGAATTTTCTTTTAATTATTTTGACCTATTTTAGTTAGATTAATTTAGAACAGAATTATGTCTTTGAAATGTTGTAACTTTTCTGTCTGTGATGGCGTCCTGTTTTTAAGTATGTCTAGTGAGTGGCAGCAGCTGGCCTTTGTCCCCAGTTATTGGATGCTTTGTGGCTCTGTGGGTCAGACATTAAAAAACACCGTCACCTAGAAACAAGACCTGCCCGTTAGAAACAAGACCCACCCACCAGAAACAAGACCCGCCCATCAGAAACAAGACCCGCCCATTAGAAACAAGACCCACCCACCAGAAACAAGACCCGCCCATCAGAAACAAGACCCGCCCATTAGAAACAAGACCCGCCCATCAGAAACAAGACCCGCCCATTAGAAACAAGACCCGCCCATTAGAAACAAGACCTGCCCGTTAGAAACAAGACCTGCCCGTTAGAAACAAGACCCACCCACCAGAAACAAGACCCGCCCATCAGAAACAAGACCCGCCCATTAGAAACAAGACCCGCCCATCAGAAACAAGACCCGCCCATTAGAAACAAGACCCGCCCATTAGAAACAAGACCCGCCCATTAGAAACAAGACCTGCCCGTTAGAAACAAGACCCACCCACCAGAAACAAGACCCGCCCATCAGAAACAAGACCCGCCCATTAGAAACAAGACCCGCCCATCAGAAACAAGACCCGCCCATTAGAAACAAGACCCGCCCATCAGAAACAAGACCCGCCCATTAGAAACAAGACCCGCCCATTAGAAACAAGACCTGCCCGTTAGAAACAAGACCTGCCCGTTAGAAACAAGACCCACCCACCAGAAACAAGACCCGCCCATCAGAAACAAGACCCGCCCATTAGAAACAAGACCCGCCCATCAGAAACAAGACCCGCCCATTAGAAACAAGACCCGCCCATTAGAAACAAGACCCGCCCATTAGAAACAAGACCTGCCCGTTAGAAACAAGACCCACCCACCAGAAACAAGACCTGCCCGTTAGAAACAAGACCCACCCACCAGAAACAAGACCCGCCCATCAGAAACAAGACCCGCCCATTAGAAACAAGACCCGCCCATTAGAAACAAGACCCGCCCATTAGAAACAAGACCTGCCCGTTAGAAACAAGACCCACCCACCAGAAACAAGACCCGCCCATCAGAAACAAGACCCGCCCATTAGAAACAAGACCCGCCCATCAGAAACAAGACCCGCCCATTAGAAACAAGACCCGCCCATCAGAAACAAGACCCGCCCATTAGAAACAAGACCCGCCCATTAGAAACAAGACCCGCCCATTAGAAACAAGACCCGCCCATTAGAAACAAGACCCGCCCATCAGAAACAAGACCCGCCCATTAGAAACAAGACCCGCCCATTAGAAACAAGACCCGCCCATTAGAAACAAGACCCGCCCATTAGAAACAAGACCCGCCCATTAGAAACAAGACCCGCCCATTAGAAACAAGACCTGCCCGTTAGAAACAAGACCCACCCATTAGAAACAAGACCCGCCCATCAGAAACAAGACCCGCCCATTAGAAACAAGACCCGCCCATCAGAAACAAGACCCGCCCATTAGAAACAAGACCCGCCCATTAGAAACAAGACCCGCCCATTAGAAACAAGACCTGCCCGTTAGAAACAAGACCCACCCACCAGAAACAAGACCTGCCCGTTAGAAACAAGACCCACCCACCAGAAACAAGACCCGCCCATCAGAAACAAGACCCGCCCATTAGAAACAAGACCCGCCCATCAGAAACAAGACCCGCCCATTAGAAACAAGACCCGCCCATCAGAAACAAGACCCGCCCATTAGAAACAAGACCCGCCCATTAGAAACAAGACCCGCCCATTAGAAACAAGACCCGCCCATTAGAAACAAGACCCGCCCATCAGAAACAAGACCCGCCCATTAGAAACAAGACCCGCCCATTAGAAACAAGACCCGCCCATTAGAAACAAGACCCGCCCATTAGAAACAAGACCCGCCCATTAGAAACAAGACCCGCCCATTAGAAACAAGACCCGCCCATTAGAAACAAGACCCGCCCATTAGAAACAAGACCCGCCCATTAGAAACAAGACCCGCCCATTAGAAACAAGACCCGCCCATTAGAAACAAGACCTGCCCGTTAGAAACAAGACCCACCCACCAGAAACAAGACCCGCCCATCAGAAACAAGACCCGCCCATTAGAAACAAGACCCGCCCATTAGAAACAAGACCCGCCCATTAGAAACAAGACCCGCCCATTAGAAACAAGACCCGCCCATTAGAAACAAGACCTGCCCGTTAGAAACAAGACCCACCCACCAGAAACAAGACCCGCCCATCAGAAACAAGACCCGCCCATTAGAAACAAGACCCGCCCATCAGAAACAAGACCCGCCCATTAGAAACAAGACCCGCCCATTAGAAACAAGACCCGCCCATTAGAAACAAGACCTGCCCGTTAGAAACAAGACCCACCCACCAGAAACAAGACCCGCCCATCAGAAACAAGACCCGCCCATTAGAAACAAGACCCGCCCATCAGAAACAAGACCCGCCCATTAGAAACAAGACCCGCCCATCAGAAACAAGACCCGCCCATTAGAAACAAGACCCGCCCATTAGAAACAAGACCCGCCCATTAGAAACAAGACCCGCCCATTAGAAACAAGACCCGCCCCAGAAACAAGACCCGCCCATTAGAAACAAGACCCGCCCATTAGAAACAAGACCCGCCCATTAGAAACAAGACCCGCCCATTAGAAACAAGACCCGCCCATTAGAAACAAGACCCGCCCATTAGAAACAAGACCCGCCCATTAGAAACAAGACCCGCCCATTAGAAACAAGACCCGCCCATTAGAAACAAGACCCGCCCATTAGAAACAAGACCCGCCCATTAGAAACAAGACCCGCCATTAGAACAAGACCTGCCCGTTAGAAACAAGACCCACCCACCAGAAACAAGACCCGCCCATTAGAAACAAGACCCGCCCATTAGAAACAAGACCCGCCCATTAGAAACAAGACCCGCCCATTAGAAACAAGACCTGCCCGTTAGAAACAAGACCCACCCACCAGAAACAAGACCCGCCCATCAGAAACAAGACCCGCCCATTAGAAACAAGACCCGCCCATCAGAA